CTCGAACTTGATGATCAAACTTCAGACTTTGATGAACACGAACGATCTTTAAACACCTGCAACAAAGGCAACTAGGTGTGTGCTCGTCACCCCTCCGATGCTTAAGTCAGATAAGGAATTTAGTACCTGAGGCTATAAACTGAATATAATGAAAAAGGTACCTCAAGAATGAGCACAGGTTGTTCATTTATAGGTGTTAACGATGGAGTCCTAGAAGGACCTATTCTTTCGCGGTCCTTATCCTTGTAGGAAAATGAGTTGTGTTTTTACCTCAAGTATTCAAATCATTGTTTGAGTCAAAGAAGGAGTCTAACATGGTAGGGACTATGGTCAAAGTAGGATTAGTGTTCCCATAGGTCGTATAGAAAAGCTGATGAGTCGACATACATACCCCAACCTCAAATGCCCAACCTTGTTTTGGTGGTTTTAGGGCATATTGAGATCGGGGTTCATGAGAAGTGGACGGGGTTCATGGTCGAGTTCAGGATTGAGAAGATCTAAGATCATCACTGGCCCCCATGCATCGAGGTCGTAGATTTCCATCCAAGCCGAGTCTACGAGTGAAGTGCATAGGCATGAATGTCCAAGTGTTTTTCCACCTGCCGAGCGTTTGACGGGATGTCGGAGAGCGACCTAAGATGGTCGCCACGTGTAATGTCAGAGCACGACCTTAGATTCTCGCCACGTGTCTTGGTCCAAGGGTTGAGATTGCATGACCGTTGGTATTCCTCAGTCCTCTATAGATACCCCAACTTTCACCCCCATTTTTCAGTTTTAACTCTCATCTCCCAGTAAATCAAGCTCGAGTTCAGGGATTAGTGGGTTTGTGAGTGACCATCCACAGAGGTAAGAGTTCGAGCCCTTAGGTTGTTTTATTTGATTATAGTATAATGTCGAGTAGTGATAATACTGGGTTTAGTAATAGTGACAGTAGCCAGGCTCCTAGAGTCTCGAACCATAGTGATAGGCTTGAAGATGTAAATACATCCATTATTCCTATGGCCATCCCCGTTAACTCCCATATTGACGTCCTGACATACCCCAAGGAGCCAACCAAGTACAAAGAACATGTAATTATTAAATAGCTAGAGTTCAAGGTCATGCCAATTTGTGACATTAGAACCCCAGGGCCAACTGAGACCGTGTTAGGAGCTCGGGAAGGGGAGATGACCTTTTTTAGGGACGCTCTTAAGGCCAGGCTTAAGTGGCCTCTTCACCCATTTTTCATCCATTTTCTGATCTCATACTACCTGTGTCCGGGTCAACTAGCCCCGAATGGTTGGAGGTTATTAGTGTATTTCTTCATACTGTGTAGGTGCCTCGAGGTTGAACCTAGGGTCGACCTACTTCGAATGGTCTTTGATATGAAATTCTCCGCGGGGTATAACTGTTTTGTTTATTTATCCACTAAGGGGGGGTTTAGAACTCCTGATACCCCTAGCTCACTTAGGGGTTGGAAGGAACATTTCTTTTTTGTGAAGCCTCAAGACCCCGACCATCCCTTTAGCCCGAGGTGGGAAATCCCCGATAAGGATAGGTTTAACAAAGGTTAGGCTTATTTTGAGGTTCTAGAGAGAGATAGGCTGAGGTTAGTGAACCACGACCCCCTTGTGGACAAGATCAATTACTTGCTTGAAGACGACACACTCCTTGCTAACATGAAAGGCCTCGAGGGTACGGTCTTTCTTTTTATGTAATCTTTGCCATTTCACGTGTAAACATCGATCTATAGTTTGAGCTAATGCCTTGTTGTATTTCTGCTTGCAGAATTTGAGATGTCTTTCGATCCATCAGCCCTCTTGGACAACGTACATAAAAAAGCAAAGGGCTCGAACTCTAAATCCCCGACGACGACCTCGTCCAAAGGGAAAAAGGGGCACGAGAGGCCGCCCGTCTAACTATGGTGGACCTGGGGTAGAGCTCACAAAACCCGACCCCTCCACGGCAGCTAACCCCCCAACAACAAGTGATGGTTCGTACCCCTTGTTAGGGGTCGAACCTCCTAGCTGATGATGACGACCATATGCCCACCAAGTCGCTCGAGGAGTACGCTGACTGTGCTCTCATTTAGGGCATAGTTGATAAGTATGAGAAGGAGGTCGAGATGAATGAAGGGGTTCGGACTCTTGAGCTCCTTACATTGAAGGTTGGCTTTTAATATGAATGCTTCTGGTAACCTCGATAGGTTTCTTAATTTGTATTAACATCGGGCTCCATACTTGTTTTCGCAGACACTAAGCGTAGCTCGGGATCTGGGGCTCAAGGGCTTGAATTCCTCAGATCGCATAGTCGAGCTCGAGATTAAGAGTGAGGTTGCGCTTAAGAGGGCCCTGGAGGCAGCTAAGGTGGACCTTAAGAAGGCCGAGGATGAGGTCGGGTTGGCAAGGGACGAAGCCGAGGAAGCGAAGCTCGAGCTCATTCAGTCCTGAAGCTCTTTTGAGGTGGAGCTTGCGAATGTTCGAGCAGAAGCCCGAGCTCAGGCCGTCGATGACTTTAAGAAGTCTGATGAGCTCAAGACTCTCCTGAGTCAGTACGGGTCTATCTCGTATTACTATGGGTTGCGGCTAGCTCGTTCATTCCTTAGGACGAAGCTTCCCGAGGATTTGAAGCCCGTAGTGGAGGAGCTAAAGACTGTGAACGAGCTCGCTAAGGACCTCGAGTTATCTTCCTCTGAGGGCGATGGGAATGATGATGACAACGATGCTGGGACCCCCGACAATGGAAGGGGGAGCGACCCCATCGACCTAGATTAGGCCCCTTCCCTAACCCCGAAATTGATATTTTTGTAACTTTTTCTTTTTGCTCATGTTATCTGCCCGATCTGGGTTTATGAACTTTTTATGATTTTGATTAAATGCAAAGTTTATTGTTCAAACTGGGCTTTTATCTTTGAGAGGGAATTTTATCAGTTCATGCATTTTATTTTTCCTACGAGATCGGGCGTTGATCCTGTGTTTGAGTATGAACATTATAATTTTGAATTCGAGCTTTTATTATAGTTTAGAGTTCGATTGTTAGTGTAGGTAACTCATAGCTCGAGTGTATGTAATAGTTCGGGTGTACTGCTTAACAATACTTATCGTTGAAACTATGGACACATCGATCCTTTAAACAATACTGATCGTGGGGCATCAATTTCAAAGTTCAACGGTATATTGTTGGGGGCAACTAGTTCGTGCACTTGTGTTTGGTATTGATTTGATTCTTTGTTTATATCGAGGGGGGACCAATTGGGTCGCTGATGAATTAATGAAAACGTCGATCATAGTTATATGAGGGCAATTATATCATGCCCCCGACCTCGATCTCAGAATTCATGCTTGGTTGAGCACTTTGGGATCGATAAAGTCAGGGATGGTTAGATGAGGGGCAATTATATCATACCCCGACCTCGATCTCAAAATTCTTTCTTTGCTCGCCATTCTAGGATTGATGATGTTACTACTTGAGGTCATGTGTTTGGAATTCGTCTAGTGTTAGCTGCATGCGTGGGGCACGGCCTTATGCTAATTTTGTAAAGGTATTAGCTGCACGCATGAGGCACGACCTTATGCTAATTTTGTAAAGGTATTAGCTACACGAGCGGGGCACGGCCTTATGCTAATTTTGTAAAGGTATTAGCTGCATGCGCGGGGCACGACCTCACGCTAATTTAATAGGGAACCGACATCATAAAGAAAATTCTATGTTCTATTAAAAAGGCTCAAGGGCATTTGATACCCGAGCTTATTTGAGCATGAGCTAACAGGGCATTAGAGCTCGAAAAGTAAAAATGAAATTAAGCAAACATAAAGCGGGCATGCAAGCCCTAAAAGGAAAATTATAGCTAAAGCTAGTCACTTGTAATATATTTTCAGATTATTGGCGTTCCATGGCCTAGGGAGTGGTTTTCCCAATGTGTCTCTGAGGCTATAGGCTCCACCTTTAAGTTTTCTTATGACCTCGTAGGGTCCCTCCCATGTCAATCCGAGTTTCCCTAGTTGGTGTCCGGCGACTTCTGCTTTTCTAAGGACAAGATCGCCAGCTCTGAACCTCCTTGTCTGGACATTGTTGTTGAAGTGCTTCGCTGTTCTATTTTGACAACTCGCAGCCCTAAGTGAGGCTTGCTCCCTTACCTCTTCAAGCAAGTCAAGGTGCTCGGTAGTTTGCGTCTCCCTATTTATCTCGAGCTTTCTTATTGTGGAGAGGCTAACCTCAATTGGGATGGTCGCCTCAAGTCCAAAAGCAAGCATGAAGGACGTTTCACCAGTTGTTGTCTTGTGCGAAGTCCTATATGCCCATAGTATCGAAGGCAGTTCGTCAGGCCAGTCACCTTTAGCATCCCCTATCTTTGTTCGAAGGTCCTGCAATATGATCTGATTAGTTACTTCGGCTAGCCCATTACTTTGTAGGTGTGAGACCGAGGCCAAGCGATGATCAATCCCATTGCTAGCGCAGAAGTTCCTGAACTGGGGATTGTCGAATTGCCTTCCATTATCTATGATGAGGACTTTTGGTATCCCAAACCTGCATATGACGAACTTCCATATGAATGACCTGAGTTTCGGCTCTGAAATTGTTGCTAGAGGCTCGGCTTCTACCCACTTTGTGAAATACTCCACTGCCACAGCCACAAATTTTAATTGTCCTCGAGCCAAAGGGAATGGCCCAAGAATATCAACTGTCCATTATTTGAAAGGAGCTGAGTAGTGAATGGATGTTAGTTCCTCAGCAGGAGCGTGTATGATGTGGCCAAACTTTTGGCACTTATCGCACTTTCAGACGTAATCTGTGGTATCTTTCTTCAAACTTGGCCAGTAGTATCCATACCTTATCAACTTATATGCAAGAGCTCGGGTTCCCTGGTGATTTCCACAAATGCCTTCGTGAACTTCAGTCATTGCTTGAAGAGACTCGGAAGGTTTGAGACATCTTAGATAGGGGAGTGTGAAACTCCTGCGGAATAGGACTCCTTCGATTATACAATATCTAACAGCTCTATACCAAATGCTTCTGGCAAGCTAAGGGTCTGCAGGAATGTTACCATTACTTATGTAATCAACTATTAGATCCATCCAGGAGGGCTCATGGTCGATGTCCATGACACTTGGCTTTTGAGCTATGCTTGGTTCCGCAACCATCTTGACGTGCACGGTTCTATCGAGCCCGTCTACACCCATGAAGACGAGTCTGGATAATGCATCAGCCTTGGTATTTTCGGCTCTGGCTACCTTCAGAATTTCACAACTTACGAACTACCTCTGGAGGTTATGTACTTTCAAACAATATAAGCTCATTTTTTTTATCCTTTCTTTCAAAAGACCCCTCGATTTGTCCAACCACTAGCTGCGAGTCACTGAAAACTTTGACGAGCTCACACTCAAGATTTTTCGCGAGTTCCAGGGCTATAACAACGGCTTCATACTCTGCTTCGTTATTGGTAGCTTCGAATTCAAATTTGAAAGCACATTGTATCTCCGTAGTCTTGTCCAGACTTGTGATGATGATGCTGGCCCCCGATCCCAAGCTATTGGATGCTCCATCAACAAAAATCTCCCATATTTCTAAGGTCGAGTTCGAGCCCTTGGCCGGTGTTTCTGAGGATCCGGAGTAAGTTCTGCTATGAAGTCGGCCAAAGTTTGGGCCTTGATTACAGGTCGTGGCTTGAACTCTATATCAAATTCGTCGAGTTCACTTGCCCATTTCAGCAGTCTTCTTGAGATGTTCGGCTTCTGAAGCATATGTCTAAGAGGTTAGTTGGTGAGCACAACAATTGGATGTGACTGGAAGTACGACGGTATTTTTCTGGCAGCTATTACTAAAGTAAGGACGAGTTGTTCCGCAAGCGTGTATCGTGTTTCCGTATCGAGGAGCACTTTACTTACATAGTAAACGGGTTGCTGAACTCTTCCTTTTTCCTTTACCAAGACACTGCTTACTACGTTCTGAGAAACGACCAAGTATAATAGCAGCGTGTCACCGGGTTCGGGTTTAGTAAGGACTGGAGGCGTTGATAATGTCTGCTTGACGTCCTGAATAGTTAAGTTTCATTCCTCATTCCAGTCGAACTCTTTATTTCCCCTAAGTAGTTTGAAAAAGGGGAAACACCTGTCTGCTGTCAGAGAAACAAACCTGTTTAGTACTGCTACGCGACCTGTCAACTTCTGAATGTCCCTTTTGCACTTAGGGGCCTCCATACTTATTAGAGCTTGGATTTTATCTGGATTTGCCTCTATTCCTCTCTGTGTGATCATAAAACCCAAGAATTTTCCAGATGCCACCCCAAACGCACACTTTGTCGGGTTGAGCTTCATGTTGTACCTACTTAATGTAGCAAACACTTCCTCCAGATTAGAAACATGACTATTCAACTGTTTGTTCTTAACCACCATATCATCCACATATGCTTTGACCGTTTTCCCAATTAGCTTGGCGAAGATCTTGTTCACCAACCTTTGATATGTTGCTCCAACATTCTTCAGTCCAAAGGGCATGACCCTGTAGCAATAGATGGTTGAATCTACCATGAATGAGGTCTTCTCTTGATCTTCTTCTGCCATGAAAATTTGGTGATACCCCGAGAAAGCATCCAAGAAGTTGTACAGCATATGACCTAACGTGCTATCTACCAAATTGTCAATTCGAGGTAAGGGGTAGCTGTCTTTGGGGCATGCTTTATTCAGATCTGTGAAGTCAATGCAAACTCGCCACTTTCCATTAGCTTTCTTGACAAGAACAACATTGGCAAGCCATTCGAGATATTGTACTTCTCGAACGAACTGTGCATTAACAAGTTTGGCAATCTCCTCTTTTATGACTTCTCACCTTTCTGGTGCAAACTGCCTCTTCCTTTGCTTCACATGTCTTGCTTCTGAGTTTACGTTAAGTCTATGTAATGTAACCTCTAGATCAATTCCAGGCATGTCCTCAACATTCCAAGCAAATACATTAATGTTGCAGGAGAGATAACTTAGAAGTTCAGACATGACCGCTACATTTAACCCCCGACCAATTGTCACTTTTCTTCTAGGGACGATCTTGACATCTCCCAATCCTTCCACTGGAGCCAACCTCCCGTGATTTTTGTGCTCTAGCTCTATAACTTGCATGACGTCATTTTTTATTTTTCGAACGCTGGTCACATAACACTGTCGGGCCACTGTTTGATTACCTCGGACTACCTCGATTCCATTAGAAGTAGGGAATTTCATAGCTCGGTGGAAAGTTGAGACAATAGCTCAAATTCTGTTGAACAGTGGTCTTCCCAATATGGCATTGTAAGCCATTGGCTTACGGACAACTTCAAAGATAGTGATTTGCGTTACCTATTTACCTTCGGCCCCCAATGTTAAGGGTAACTCGACGATACCTTCCGGGGTGATGACCCCACCTCCAAATCCTTGGAGGGGTGTTTTGACTGGCTTGAGTTGCTCTGATGAGATCCCCATTTGAACAAAGGTTTCATGAGACTGTATGTTTGCTACACTTCCGTTATCTACCAGAATTCTCTTGACTTCAAAGTTAGCGATGATGACAGATATGACAAGGGCATCATTATGAGGGAATGCTATGCCTTCCAAGTCATCCGTTCCAAAAGTGATGCCCTCTGTATGGCCAAGATCTGGTCTTGAGATGATTGGAGGCTGCTTGGCATACTGTTTACGCCCGCTGCTAAAATCTTCTCTTGAGGCTGTTCCTCCGACAATGATATTAATAGTGCCTGCAGTTGGTTGCTTGTTTCCCCAACCTTCTGGGCCTTGCCCCCGTTCTAATTATTCCTCGAGCACTTGTCATTGCTAATGTAAGAGCTCAGAAATCCCCTTTTTATAAGAGCTTTGATTTCTCGCTTTAAGGCCAGATAGTCTTCCGTTGTATGCCCGTGATCTCTATGGAAATCACAGTATTTACTCTTGTTGCGAGTATCGGGAGGAGACCACAATCGGGGAGGCCACTTCAGTTCCCTCGAGTCCTTGATTTCTATCAGGATGTTGGACCTTGAAGTGTTCAAATGGGTAAAAGACGTTGAAGATGGATCATTCCTTAGTTTGACCCTTAGTGTCTCTTGTCTCAAGCTGGAATCATGCGGCCTTTTCTGATGAGGAAACTTCCCTTTTTGGGGCCATGGTTTCTTCTATATTGATGTACTTCTCAGTCCATGTAAGTAGCTCGGTGACTGACTTCGACGAGGTCTTAGACAAGGACATCTTGAATGCTTCGCACTTAATGGTATATGTCAGCGCTGAGACTGCAGCTGTGATATGTAGATCGAGGATCTGAAGCCTTTCTTTATTGAACCTGGTCATGAAACTACGCAGTGTTTCATTGGGTCCTTGACGCATCTGCATGAGTGATGCGGCTGTCTTTCTAATTTGTTTGCTGCTCGCAAAGAAAGCGGAGAACTTATTGGCAAAATCTGAGAAGGAGGTGATAGAGTTCGGTTCCAATGTGGAAAACCAATCTCTAGCTACGTTTGTGAGGGTTTAGGGAAATGCCTTGCACATTACTGCATCATGTGCAACCTGTAAGTTCATGATATCTGTGTATACATTGAGATGATTGATGGGGTCGGTTATCCCATCGTACTCCTTTATCCGAGGATACTTGAACCTATCGGGAAGGGGATGTGAGAGGACTTCTGGAGTGAATGGTGTATTGGGGGTGAACCCTATTGCTGCCCGAGTATTTTGTTGCATACCTGCTGCTATGCCTTCTTGAATAATTCTAACAAGTTCGGTGGAGTCCATTGTGACAGACCTTGAGCCTGAAGCCACCTGTGGTACACCTGAAGTTCCAGCTCCACCGTCATCATGGGCTGCATGACGGACTCGAGCTCGGGCATCTGCCATAAAGCCACCTTCAGGGATTGGGTATGTGACGGATGCGAATTTCTCTGGCTTAACAATTAGGTTAATGCGGCCACCTGCTGACGAAGTTCTTCAAAAGCTCCGGCGAAAACAACAACTTGAGGATGTGCTGGCATCTCCGACGACTATTCTTGAGGGATATGGCGTTCCTCGGGAGGATGAGGGTTATCTGGGACGGATGAGCTTGTTGGAGGAAGACCTGAACGTGTATTGACCATGGCTTTTGGTAGTGAGTTCCCACAGATGGCGCCAATGATGCTACCAAAAAATATTACCTGAAAGATCTCGAACTTGATGATCGAATTTCAGACTTTGATGAACACGAACGGTCTTTGAATACCTATAACAAAGGCTAGGGCTGGGCAAATCTCCTGACCGAACCGAACCAAATCGAACCCGACAGTTCTTGTCAAATTAAATACCCGAACGGGTATCTGAATTGAGAACCGACGGGTACGGTTCGATTCTCGGTTCTAGACCAAGAACTGAATCTTTTTAATTTTTTTTTATATTGAATAAATCAAATTGTCAAATTAACAATTTCTAAATCCAATTTTTTGGCCCAATAATTTGTTTCATTTCTAATTTTTTTATTTTTGGCCCAATTACCTATTTTATTGTTTCATTTCTTAGCCCAACAAAGATCCAACCCACTAAATAACCCTAAACACTTACACTAAAGTGCATAACGTTGTCTCGACTCTCGCACTCACTCTCGCAGCCTCGCTGACATTCCAAAATCTATAAAATCACTGGCCAACACTGTGACCTCCGAATGAAGCTGTGACCTCCGTTGATCGAAACTTTGACCGTAGCAATCATTTGAACAAGATAATCTACTAATCTCTGACATTCCAAAACCATTGAATGTGTCATTAGTTGTATTTATATAATGTTGTTATAAATGTTAAAAAATTTAATTATAGTATAGAACCGAACTGAACCGAACTCGAACAGTTCCATAATTATATTTGGACCCGACGGTTCCATTTACTAGATACCCAAAAATTTTGGTTCGGTTCAATTTTAAAGAGAATCGAACCGAACCGACCCACGCCCATCTCTAACAAAGGCAATGAGGTTTGTGCTCATCGCCCCTCTGATACTTAAGTCAGATAGGGAATTTAGTGCGTGAGGCTATAAACTGAAGATAATGAAAAACGTACCTCAAGAATGAACACAGGTTGTGTATTTATAGGTGTTAACGATGGAGTTCTAGAGGGACTTATTCTTTCGCGGTCCTTATCCTCGTAGGAAAAGGAGTTGTGTTTTACCTCAAGTATTCAAATCATTGTTTGAGTCAAAGAAGGAGTCTAACAGGGTAGGGATTGTGGTCAAAGTAGGATTAGTGTTCCCATGGGTTATATAGAAAAGCTTATGAGTCGACATACATACCCCGACCTCAAATGCCCGACCTTGTTTTGGTGGTTTTAGTGCATATTAAGATTGGGGTTCATGACAAGTGGTCGGGTTCATGGTCGAGTTCGAGATTGACGAGATCTGAGATCATCACTTGGGTTCCTTTGGTTTTGTCAATTTCTTGTGGTCTCAACTTTAAGTTCTGTGTATAGGCGTTTACCTACTCTGTGACTATCTTTCTTGGATACCGACGACTTATGTAACCATCGAACTCTCCTGCTAGATCGAGGGCCGACTACAGCATCATCTTGTGGTGACCTAGTCGGCAAATCACGAGGTGTCAATCACTCTGCTGGTTGTCGGAATCATGGTAGACTCTGGCTTCTCTTTTTGGTAAACAATCATCGTTCGTGTTGTCAACCGTGGTAGATTTTAGACTTCTTGGTGGCTGAAATTGTAACGGGTTAATAGATCGTGGGAAACAGGTTTCTTCTGTTGCTGAAATTGTGGGCTGGGCAACAGCTATGTCAAGAAAATATTCTTGGGCCTCTCTATTATCTACCATTTGGGCCAAACTTGGGTTGCTATTCATACATTAGATACATTTTTATGACTCTATTAGGTATTAGGGTTTCTGTGGGTGAAGCCCTCTATATGTCAATAAAGCTGGGCCTATTTTTGTTCAGTGTCCGATGAGTGTAATGCAAGTGCAAGGCCAAAATTTGTGGGCTTTTGAATAAGTTGCAAAGTAGCTAGCAATTGTAATTTATTTTTGTTTGAAGAGGATTGCAAGAGAGAAGAGGAGCATCTTTCGATTCTTTTAGTGTAGGCTGTTTTGTGAAATTTCTCCCAACTACAGTATCTTGGCCAGCGATATATTGCTGGGTTTTTGGCCGGTGTATTGGCGTTAGAGCTTTTGTCGGATCACGAATTATGTGGTTGACTAAGTTCTCTCGACAGATAAAGCTCACTGTGTGTGTCGGCACACTTCGTAGATTTTTTTTGGAAATTCTTTTTTGGGTGTGAGCTCTCTGGAATGTCTTTGGAGTGTTCTTGGAGTGGTTTTCGAGTAGTTTTTGATTGCTTCTACATTATTTCTTATTCTTGGTCTCTCGTCATCACTAATTTTCGTAGATGTTTGCTCTGTTTTGGATTTCTTCTTCGTGGGCACAAGTATTCTCATCGTCGTCAATTTAAGATTGCAAATTGATGATTTTACTAGCGTCAATTTGAGAAGGGATGTCAGTGGAATATAAGGAAAAAATATAAAGCACAATCTTTATATTTAGCCTTTGTTTGAACCACATTAGTAGAATAAAAATGCATTTTTGAATAATATATTAATGGGAAATGTGTGGTTAAAAAATAAGGAAATATTTTGGATTTGCGTGTAACATTATTTTATTAAAGAATTTGTAGTTGAAATGATATCAAATCACTGCTGAAAAATGTATTTTTTTACAAATAATGTGGCTCAAACAAGGTTTTAGTAGGGTATCATTAATAAATATTGTAATTGATGGTTACATATTTAGTTTGATTTTGGTGGAACCTCTCACATCGAAGGACATCGATTCTTATTGAGTATTATTCAGTTTATTTGACAACAACATTTGTCGGGTTGAGAAAACAATTGGAAAATTGTTTAGCAACTCACGAAATAGGGATTGGATTTTTAAACTTTTTTTTCTTGACTTTGAAAAGTCCACTGAATTCTTGGGCACGTTATTTTGTAAAAATCTTTCAAATTCAAACTATATTTCAATAATTTGATGAAGATGTTGAATCTCAAAATTGGATATTTCTTTGTGACTCTGATGCTAACTAGATCAATGTGTTTTCCATGTATAGGAATGGAAGGAGAGAAACTTCAATATTGTATCTAG